ATGATCTCTCTAAAGTTGTAATGCCTTTTATACACTTCACGCAATCAGAAGTGTTTAAGGCATGATCTCTCTAAAGTTGTAATGCCTTTATGCACTTCTTCACGCAATCAGAAGTGTTTAAGGCATGATCTCTCTAAAGTTGTAATGCCTTTTATGCACTTCACGCAATCAGAAGTGTTTAAGGCATGATCTCTCTAAAGTTGTAATGCCTTTTATGCACTTCACGCAATCAGAAGTGTTTAAGGCATGATCTCTCTAAAGTTGTAATGCCTTTTATGCACTTCACGCAATCAGAAGTGTTTAAGGCATGATCTCTCTAAAGTTGTAATGCCTTTTATGCACTTCACGCAATCAGAAGTGTTTAAGGCATGATCTCTCTAAAGTTGTAATGCCTTTTATGCACTTCACACAATCAGAAGCCACTTCCCCAAAGTATGACAGGGATGTGAATAGAATTTAGGTTCTATATATATTTACCCTTGTATTTCACAGTAGTGTACAGAAGTTGGGGGTGGGGCAGAGGCTGTGATATATATATATATATATATATATATATATATATATATATATACACATAAATACATATATCATCCACAGACAGACTGTTTCATAGCACATCTGTGTGGCTAGACACCTAACTGCTTCAAGCTGGGATCTAAACTCGACTGATTTGACATCTGTCAAAGACCCCTTATCCCTAGGCTATCAGTGCACAGCAGAGAAAGGGGATTTTTTAATGCATTATATACATGATATATATATATATATATATATATATATACACACACATACACCATATCGGCCACCATAGCTCTCAATTCTTATGATGATCAATGCATTTTAAAGTAGCAGCAGCCATCAAAAATTCCTTTTCATCATAGTGCTCGATCAGTCAATGAAGGAACAGTGTGTATGTATGTATATATATATATATATATATATATATATATATATATATATATATATATATTGGTTTAAAATGTATACCAAATGTTACAACAAGTAGAACTCAAGGTAAACCTTTCCTAAAGAGAAACTATAATTTGAACTTGGAATAAAAGCAGTGACAGCATGCACCTGATATTATCATTACACAGGTTATAGGGAAATATTGCTCAATAGCAGAGACATAGATATCAGAAGTGTATATATAAGAATCAACATGGCAAAATGTCTCTCAGTTTGACATCACAAATTTGTAACCCTCTCTTTACGATGCCATTATATTTCTAATAAATTGTATAAACTGTACATTTATGGTGGATTCTCCAGTCGTAGTGACCCTCTGCAGGTTTTGAATTCAGAGATGTCATTCTCCTAGACCAGATTCCATCCAAGGCTATAGAACCTAATCTGTCCTGCTATTTACCCATAGCTGCGGGGAGAAGAGGAGGATTAATAACTTTCCCAAGGGTATAAACACATAAGTGAATGTAATGGATCTGACTGAAATTGAACTCGCTCTCCGATTCCTGAATCCAAGCCACTATCCACTACTCCACCATGCCTCCTGTATATACACACACACACACATATATATATGTGAAAAAATATATATATATATATATATATATATATATATATATATATATGAAAAATACTCCCCTAAAAGTTCAACTTTATTTCATTTCTTGTTGAGAAAGAACACAGTATATTCGAAAATTCTGAATTTTATAAACATTTTTCATCATACTTCTATTTGCTCTAATTATGTACAATAAATATTTTTATTATCATTATTATAATTATTGTTGTTTTAGAATATTTTTAGACATACAGGATAGGGAAAAGTAAATGAATGGATCTTATTGTTGAAATTTTAGAAAATGTAAAGCTATTTTAGCTACTATTTTCTTTTTTTTAAAATTATATCAATTTTTAAATTAAGCAAACCAATATATTGAACATTTACTAAGATGATTGCTTTGAAAAAAAAACAAAAAAACTGATATTAAATCAATGGAAAAAAATACATGCTAATTATTAGAATGTTTAAAGATGATTTCTTCTATTTTGAAAGTCTATACAACATTTTCCATCATAAGACATATTTCTAGTGAGGAGAAAGAAAGAGAAATGTGTTAATCAGACTGTGGGATATCTCTCCTCATATATATATATATATAGAGAGAGAGAGAGACGTGTGCATTTATTTAGGCATTAAGAATTAATTCAAAGTAGTTTTATTAAAATAAACTGACAATATGTTTGCTCAAATTTTTCATTACATTTTCTCCCATTTTTGATATATATTTATATACATATATATATATATATATATATATATATATATATATATATATGCATATATTTCTGAGATCAGGTATTATGTACATTATTCGGACTATTGTCCTCATCTTTGTTGCAAATTTGAAAATAAATAAATAATTGTTATAATTCTTTTTCTATCCTTTGCAAATGATTCAAATTTTAGTATGTTATTATGGATGATAACGACTACCAGTTGTCAAAATTTCAGCTTTTCACAGTTGTTATTTCTAACAAATATTAGGTTTTAAAATTTTGTCCTTAGTTTTGGATTATTGTATATATATATATATATATATATATAGAGAGAGAGAGAGAGAGAGAGAGAAAATGTTGTGTGTGTGTGTGTGTGTATATAAGTGAACAGTGAAGTCAAGACCTAGTGGTGATAGTCTGTTTCATGCTTAAGTGCAATTATCAGGTCATGTACATATTTCATACATATATATATATATATATATATATATATATATATATATATATATATATATATATATATATATATATATGAATGATAGAGTGAGAGGAGAGAGCTACCTTTCAGTCTCATTAACACATTTTCTTTGTTTCTCCTCTCTAGAAATAGGCTTTATGATGGAAAATATAGGAAATCATCTTTAAACATTTGAATAATTAGTGTGTATTTTTTTCCATTGATTTAATACCAGTTTTTATTTTTCAAAGCAATCAACTCAGTAAATGTTCAATATATTGGTTTGCTTAATTTAAACACTGATATAATTTTTAAAAAAAGAGAAAAAGTAGCTAAAATAACCTTCCATTTTCTAAAATTCCTATAATAATATCCATTCATTTACTTTTCCCTACCCTGTGTGTCTAAAATATTCTTCCTTGATTTTTTTTTTTTTAGCATTGCTTAAATGAGGAAAAAGTAATTTTTTTCTTTGGAAAATAGAACCAGGAAGGAAACATTTCTGTGATGTGTGTGTTGATATTTGGAATAATGTTATCCAAAGAGTTCAAATTATCAGCAAGTAACTTTGAGATCAAAGGTGCTTCAGATTTGGCTGGTTTTTTTTTTTTTTGTCCTTTTATTCTTTTTTTGTTGTTTGCCAATTAGGGCCATGTCAGTAAGACCTGGAATTTGTAACTGACTCAAGAAATGTGCTTCTTGGACAGAAAGACAGAAAGAAAAACAGGATGAAAGAAGGAAGAAAGGGAAAGAAAGAAGGAAATGGAAGGAAGGATCAGGGTTGGAGGAGCAATCAGACAAGATTTTGAAAGCAATTGGAATGCTAACAAAAACATATACAGAAATAATAAAAATCTGACAAAAACAAACAGCTTGGAAGTACTTTACCTTTTATTGCATTGCATTTTCTGTACATAAAACCTAGAGATTGACTCACAAAAACACATAAAAAGAACTAGGGACTTTTTCATACGAGTATAATCATTTGTGATGTTTCAGTAGTACAAAATGATACGTCAGCAGGTAAGAATTAATGTTTGGAGGGAATTTACATCTTCTGATGAATATTGATTTTAGAAATACAAGACATACTACAAAGGGAAATGGAATTACTGAAGCATAAAATTATTTGATCCTGACTTAATTTTTTTTTTTTCTTTAGAATCAATGAAAAAATTTCTGGAAGTGGTTTAACATGCCAAATTTTACAATTTTATTGAAGGAATCAGAAAAAAAATCACTGATTATGTGCTTGGGATGATATAGAGTAATGATTGGAAATAAATTATGGGATATTAAAATAGCTGATGTCAGACTCCAATTCTAATTTGATAAGCAAAGTAATCTTTAATACTAATATCACATAAATATCATGGCTAGTATATATTTTCAGAAAGACTTCATTGCTTATTAATCTTATATCACTCATGCAGTGTTATGTGTCAAATAAAAAATATATCTGAGTGAGATGATATAACTTCTGGCAGACAGATTTTGATGATGAGAAGACTGTTTTTGTAAAATTATCTTTTATGAATTTTATTTCAGAAAATCTATAGAAAAAATGATTTCCTATAAAAAAAAACCGAAAAAAAACCCAGAAATCTTGCATTTCTATAATAAAAAAATGAATATGCAACTATTATGTCATTAGTTAGAACTCCTGGAGGTTGATTTAAGCAAGAAGAAATACCTGATAGCAGACTGTGCACAATAATCAGTTTATTGCTGAAAAATAGATAAAAACTTGCTGAAAAATCTCCTGAATGAAAAGATCAACAATATCTTCACCTCTGTAATATTGCCAGAGTGAAATGTTCCAGAAATTGTGCGGCAAGTGAAGCATTACCTCAAGATATCCAGATATCAATGAATGCGTTTTTGTTTATACTTTCTTTCTTTTGCCTTTTTTTTGCCTCAGAGTTTTCCACTGGTTATCAAATTAGATTTGGCTTGGTAAAAATCAAATAACAACATTTGTGGAATCATGCCTTTTTCTATTTACTTGTTTACAGTGGCTAAATGAAGCAAGTTATGCATCAAGAGCTTCCAATTTTGAAGCATCTTTCAATGGGGCACTGGGAAATGGATTCCACTCATGGGTTTGTTGTAGAAGATCAATAAGCTATTCACACACATACATAAACGGTTGCTCTTTACTTTGGAAACAACCAACAAACAATCAATTCTGAAGATATAAGGGTTTCAGAGGAATTTTCCTAAATAAGTGTGTTTATGAAATCTTGTCATTGTGGTAAGTTTAGCTGTTAATAAAGCATGGTGTATCATGTTTGAAATATTATATCCATGTAAAAGTAAACTTAAGGGAAAAATAATGGCACAAGAGTGAAAACAAGGCAAAAAGCAGGGGATGAAAAGGAATTGAAGAGAAAGGATCAAGATAGGGAAAAGTGAAGAGAAAAGATAAAGAAAAAATATGGAAGAAAGAAAATGGATGAGAATAAGAACAAGACAGGGGAGAGAAGAAGGAATAAAAGAAAGAGAGGAAAAGAAAGGAGACAAAAATAGAAGGGAAAAATGAGTAAATAATGGGAGAAGAAAAATTAAAACAAATGAGACAGAAAAAAGAGAAAAGCAGGAGAAAGAGATATGAATGAACAAAGATGAATGAGAAGGTAAAAAGTTGAATGAATGAAAAGCTGGAAAATAAGACGAGAAAAAGAAAAAAAATGAGAGCAATAAAGAAATTAACAAATAGCTGAAGAAGAAAAAAAGAAGAAAAAAAGAAGAAAAATCAAAGAGGAGGAAAGAGGAGAATGAATAGAAAAACAGTAAGATGATGGAAAAGAGAAAGAAAAGAAAAAATGGGAAAGAAAAGGAAAAGAGAAAGGAAAATAAAAAGAAAAGGAAAAGACAAAGGAAAAGAGAAACGTAAAGAGAAAGGAAAGGAAAAGAAACAAAAAGAAAAGGAAAAGAGAAAGAAGAAGGAAAGGAAGGAAAAAAGAAAGAAGAAGAAGAAAAGGAAAGATAAAGAAAATATTAAAAGGAAGGGAAAAGGAAAGGAGATAAAAGAAAGATAAAGAAAAGAAAAGGAAATGAACAGAAAAAGAAAAGGAAAAGAACAGAAAAAGAAATGGAAAAGTAAAAGAAAAAAGGAAATGGAAAAAGAATAAGAAAAGAGAAGTGAAGGAAATGAGGAGAAAAAAATAAAAAAATACAAAAGTAAAGGAAGAAATGAAAAAGAAAAAGATGAAATAAAAGTCAAAAAGAAAGCCAAAGAGAAGTGTGTAGAACAGAAAAAAAAACTACATAGAAAATAATGATGCAGGATAGAAAGAAATAAAAGATTAATGAAGAAAATAACAAAAACAAAGTAGAAAGAAGAATAGGAGAAAGATATTAAAGAAATGAGAGAAAGAAAGAAAAAACAACAAAAGAAATTTGGAAAGTGACAAAATGAAAAAAGAAGGCTAAGAAATGAAAGATCAATATAAGGTCACTAAAACGTTTATAATGAATGAATGGATGAAAAAGAAATAAAGAAAAAAATTCAATCAATGAGTGAATAAATAACATTAAAAAGGTTTCACTAACAAAATATTTATTAGAATTTAATATGATGAAAGGAAACAATCTGTTTTAAGATCTAACATACTGTTTATCAGACTTACAATTGTGATGGTTAATATTCTCTAGAAACAAGATTATAAAAATATCTTTAATCTTAAAAAAAATTACACCTGTTTATCTCACTATAAGATACATAGACATGGATGCACACATGATTAAAACAAATATAGACATGTATACCATTTTATCAGACAGAGTATACAGCAACTGCAGCATAAAATGTAAGGTTACATACACAGAGAAAAGGAAAGGAAAAGAAGGAAAGGAGAGACAAAGAAGCAGAAAAGAAAAGGAAAAGAAAAAGAATCTAAAAGAAGTCAATTAAATTATGTGCCCCCTCCCGCCACAAAAAAATAAATGAAAAGTTCCCAGCATCCCTCGTTCATGCACAACTGTTGTTGCACCAATATAACAAATTAATTCCAATGAAGTCCTCAAGGAAGAAACATGTAACACAAAAACTTTTTTCCACTTTGTCATATATTTCCCCACCCCATATACAGGTAAGTATATACATAGGTATTTCAGATACTTATTTTTAAGTATATATACAGATCTTCATATAATGGTAATATTAACTGTTTCCTCATATGAAAACGTTCAGTATACATTGAACAAGCAGCCAGTACCATTATTGACTACTTAGTCAATGAATGCCAAATATTTCCTTATAAGGAAGTGGCTAATGACCAGTTAACACTCACCAAAACGGAACTTAGAGCATTAGTGAGTTATAAGTAAGAATCTGTTATATTACCTATTCTATTGTAATAGACTCTCCCACACATAATAAGTAGTAGTAGCAGTGGCCAGTTGAGCTCAGTGGAGTTGAGTGAGTCAGTCGATGTCGGACATTGAAGTATCAACCATCACAACTAGATTGCTGCGTCATTAATTATTATTGCAAGTTCCTAACATTTTGTACGTCGGACCCGTTTTAGGACCGACTTATTGAAATACAAGCCTCCACTGTAAAAACTACTCTACAACAAAATCTCTATAATTAATACTCAATTTTTTATGAACTTATTATTAATACTGTATTTTTTTTTTAGAAATGTTTAATTGGTAATGGTGATATCAGCCATTTTCTTTATAAGCAAACATTTGGCATTCATTGACAAAGCAGCCAGTACTACTATCAGTTAAAATTTATAAAATCTGTCCCTCAAAATAATTTTTCAGGAAAATAGGTATCTCAAGTTCAGTAGCTGTTACTGTAGAGAAAGAATCAGATTAAGTTGATAAGAATAGATACTACACTTTGATCTTAATATTTATTTGTAAATATTACAAAATGTGCCACAAGGGTGAGGGGGAAAAGGACTGGTCATCTCTAGTCTTAACTTATAACTAGCTAGTCGCTCTCATTGACCCATTCATACTGATAATAAACCTTGCATCATAATACCACATTTGCACAAAACTCTCGCACCACAATCACCAAAATACCTCAATTATTCCACTAGAATCCTACCAGGGAATTTTATTTACACACAAGCAGGGCGGGGGATATAATGAATATATACAATGAATGGATGAAACCTGCAAAATAAATAGGTGTTAGTATCGGGTCCCGCCCAAAGGTGAAAATGTGGCCAAAATCCTGGAAAGGCTGAGAAATCATGATGACTGTGATAATATTGCCATTTTTTAGATGCAGCATTGAACAATTAATATAATAATAAATAAGCAATCGCCAAAAATCCAATTACCATAAATTAAATAAAATAACATTGTCTGCTGAATTATTTTAAAATTATTATTAAAAGAAATGTTTGTAAGAAAAGAAGAAAGGGAAGATAGAAGTGTTTAATGAATGTTTCAGTGAAATGGAAAAGTTATCAATTTAAAATCATTTTATTTCTACCTACTTCTTAAAATAATAACCAGCATTCATATTTTGTTAAAGTTCAAATATTTAATGACACAATAGGGATACTTCTATGGATATTTTATTACCATAGAACTTGACATGAGTTTATTCAGTCATTAACTTTAGAGTTAAGAATTAAGAATCATTGGAAAATTTAAATTGGAAAACCATGAAATTTTCACAGGTCTTTCTAGTTTGGTTTGGTTCATTTTTTTGATGGCATGTCAGCCTCAATGAACAGAATATGTATTCATTATAAGAAATCAGTTTGTAGATCAGGTTTCATTGATTTATTTTTCTAAAGCTGTTTTTTTATCGCATCAAATGTATTGCTGGTCATATTTTTTCCTCAAAAATGTATAGCTGGTAATTTATTTTTCAAAGATGTATTACAGGTATTTTTACTATAAAAACATACTTTTACAGTTTCATAGTGTTTTGACACCAGCTTGGGGGTTAACTATTTGCCCATAACTGGGACCCTAACAGGTGCTACCACCCCAGGTCAGGTTGGACCTGGGAACAGCAGCAATTAACAAGTAGTTTCACACTCCTCAAAACAACTTGATCAGAGACCTTGTTGCTGAATGCAGTTTATCACCATACAGGTCTTTCTAGTCGTAGATATTATATTTAGTAGATAAAAAGGAACTCAGTCAGTTTTTACAGCTTCTAATTTCTTTTGAGATCAAAGAAGTAAATGTCCCTCTTTAAGTTTTGCTGAAAGAAATATTCGACAGAAAGCTGTAGAGAGCTATGAAAAGTTAGAGAATATAAGGAACTCCTCCTCCTCCTCCTCTTCTTTATGTTCCATCTCCCCTCAGGATGTAAGCAATCATGGCTCTCCACAATTTCCTGTCCTTTGTAGTGCTTAATAAATTCTTTTTCTTATCTCCCCCAAACCCTGTTCCACTATCCAGTGTTAATTTTAGTCAAAATTATTCTGATGGTTACTTTTGCAAATGGTAAACTGGAAAAAAATATATCTAAAAACTCATCTAGCAATAGTACAGACTTAAAATATACCGTCACTTTTTACGGCATGGCTGAACTTGTATTATTGTAACAACAGATTGGGTACTTGCAAGAAAGTAGTGGTTAACAAGCTAGACTTGCTAATTATTATGACTGTCGTATGTTTGATTTTTCTAAGTCACACCAAACTTTTGGCCTTGTGTTGAGTAAATACCTATGATAATGTTGGGGGTAAGATTAGCCATTTCCATACAAGGAAATATTTTGCATTCATTGACCAAACAGTTAGTGTTATTGTTGGGAGTTTTCTTCCAAACATTTTGTTTAAAGTAGTGTACAAAGTCATCATCCTGATCACATCCTTATTTTCCTTTTTAGTTACATGTGTCATCCATTTTACTTGTTGCTGTTTAAAATCTTTGTGATGTGGTTTCTGTTATTTGCTAAAGATCTTTGTTTATAATTTTGCAGTGCCAGTCTATAAGATGTGATCTAGGATTGTCTTCTGTAAGACTAAAAAAATTAATTCACTGGAAGCCTTTTTGTTGTGGTGTTCTCCCTCTAAACCGTCTATGTTGGACTCTTCCATCTACTATAAGATTAGTAGGAGAGAAGGCTTTGGGGTAACAGTTCGCACAGATTGTTCAACTGTCAACCTCTCTGCTGAAGCAGAGAGGAACTCGGATGAAGCTTTGCCACAGGGCAAAGTTTCATCCGGGGAGGTAGACAGTCCCTGCACCTGTCTAGGTGGGTTCAAAGGGAATATTTTTGGTCGAGCCTATGGGCTCGGAGAAACCCACCTTAAATTGGCTTTGTGCCACATACATTCCTTGTGGGGGGGACTGTTAAATATAACAGTTGCATAGATTGTTCAACTGTCAATCTCTCTGCCTCGGCAGAGAGGAACTCAGATGAGACTTTGCCGCAGGACAAAGTTTCGTCCGGGGAGATAGACAGTCCCTTTGAACCTGTTTAGGCGGGTTCAAAGGGAATATTTTTGGCTAAGCCTACGAGCTCGGAGTACCCACAATAAACTGGCCTTATGCCACATACATCCTCGTGGGGGGGTGTTAAATATTAACAGTCGAATAGTTTGAACGCTGGGTGCACTGACACCTACCCACTAGTTGTGTAATACTCTTCTGTTGTACTTATGGTCTAATATAGGATATATCTGTGACACTTGTTTTGTTATTTCTTTAACCATTTTATTTGGTCACAACACTTTTGTAATTACTGATCTGAGAAAAAAAATTTATATAGCTGATATTTTAGATATTTCTGAGCAATTTCTGTCAGTTTAAATTTATAAGGGTTTTTTTTTTCTTTAACAGTTTTTCAGGAACTGAAACTCCTCAAGTCTACTATTACACTTTCTAGTACTGATAGGAATTTCTTTCTGAACCTTTTATTTTTGCCAATATAAAAAGTTAACACCTTGATTATATACTTATTTTTTTAAAGCTGTTTTTGTTATTTGGTAAATCTCTTTGTGATTTTGTAGTACTAGTCTAAAAGACCTGATGAAAGATTATTTTTAAAAACCTAAAGGAGAAATTTGTTTGAAGTCATTTTTAATCACCTCTTCTTCTATACACCATACCCCCATAGGATTTTGGTTATCATGTCACTCCACAATTTCCTGTCCCTTTTAGTTCTTAATAACTTTTGTCTTTTTGCCTTCTATCCCATACCTTGCTCAAGCTCACCAGGTAGGTTGTGCATTGCTTTTCTCTGTCTCTTTTACCTTCAGTCTGTTTTGTGACTATCATGTTTTCCAAGCCCTCTTTCCTCATTATGTGTAATAGAAACCTCAAGTGTCTCTTCTTGTTTTGCTGCCATTTTCTCTAGAACTTTGTTGTGACTTACGTGTTCAGTCCATGGTATTCTAAGAAACCTTCTTTAGAACCAGATTTCTGTTGCTTCAAGTCTCTTTTTCATCAGTGAGGAGATTGTCCAGCATTCATTGCCATATGGGACGAGTGATAT